AGTTTGCCCTTATTTTGAATTTGTACTTAGTGGCCAGCACTACGGGGGATACCAAAGAAATATAACACATGGCTGTTACCTACTGGGAGCTTCTAATACAATGAGGGAAACAACACATATACAAAACAAAATACAGTAATACCTTGGTTTGTGAGCATAATTCATTCCAGAAACAAACTACTTGCATTGCAAGGCATGGCTCATTTACCAAGTTAAAATGTATTAGAAATGTTTGCTTGTCTTGCGGAACACTCGTAAACCGTGTTACTCGCAATCCAAGGTTTTACTGTATAAGAAATCATAGAAGCCTGGTAGTCCTAAAACAATTAAATACAATAGATGAATAACAGCAAATAAAACAATGAAGTACTTACCTGAATGCTACTGACTATATATGTGTTAGAAGGTCAAGGACAATAAATGTCAAGAGCCAAGGAAGGCATTCCCTGTTCTAAAGAACATAACTTTCAACAAATCAACATTAAAAACAGCTCTATAATATTTATTTTTTTAAAAAACCTACTATAGTTCTTCAATTCTAAGATGTCATCTTTTCATATTTCAATCTAATATGTATAAAAGCTATTGTTCATCTTGCATTGACTTGCACCAGGTTTTGTTGTAAGTGAATTATATGTGTTGACTGGTTTAATATGGATCATTTAATGGGGTGGAAATATTTCATCTTCTCCCCTCTGAAAAAGTGCTATTAAACCGTTGGGATGAACTGGAACTCTATAGTTGTTTAGAACCCAGGAAGCATGGTGTGTGCAGAAATAATAGATCAAAATTTATAAAAATTATATTGACAAAATTTTCTAATCTCTTTAGTCTGGATTGCTAGGCCCTTGGTTCTGTTTTATGAAGATCGCCTGATAGCCCTGACACCCTTGGACCTCCTGTAGCTTAACCATTCAGTTAGAGGCCCAATGGCTGTAAAATAGAAAAGTTTCCATGCTGAGATGGTGAGGTAACCTCATTCAAAATTGAACCTTATTCAGCAATAATTTTACACAGCCCTGCTGTGGTTTTCACCTAGGCCAGGAAGGGGATTCTGATTTATTTACAAACAGACAGGGGAGTAACTATCTAAACCACCAGAGTAAAGTCAAAATATATGATTTTATTGGGTTGGGCTCCTTGGGAAACAGTCCCTGAGATGGAGATTCGCGTGCTGAGATATACTGGAGCATGCTTTTAGGAACACAGCTTGTGGGGCATTGGGACACAGGGCTGGGCAGACGGAGGTTGATCTGTAATGCAGTTGCGCATTAGCCTCAGCTGATCCCAGAGTGAGCTCTGGAGCTAAAATGTCCTTTACAGGTGCCCTGAATGGAGACAAGGGAGCCTGGCCTTGTACCCTTGTACTCATTGGATATGAATAGCTCCCAGGGAGAGGATGTAACCCTGAGTGAAGCAGTTAACTTTTAGCTGAGAGCAATTTGTGGGTGAAGATTCAACTTCGAGCTGTCAGCGGGCAATACTGCCAGCAGTTGGGGGCATCAGGACTTTGGTCCTGAAGGTGGGAACTGGGTGGCACACCATAGCATCCACTACAGTGATATATAGTCACATAGTTATATGTTGATATACACATTGACATATATGTATGCATATTCATCCACACATGAACATATGGACATGCATACATTATGCATGTATTTATATTTATAAACATTTAAAAAGCACAAATCAGCTAAATAAAACAACCACAGTGAAATGTGATATAGTAAATTGGGTGGATTTATTAAAATCATAGGCTATTATCACTATAGTACAGTGGTTCTCAGGATTGTCCCATAGGGAATATTTTTCAAAGCTGAGGGGCATATTTGGTTGGCACAAAGATTTGGGATGTTCTAAGTGTTTATTCGGTGGAAATTGGCAATGCCAGGTATCTCACAATATGGATTTCAAATGTCCCACTGGATATTGTAGGTAAAAATCTGTTTGTAATTCTCTTAGCCTAAAGCTCAACCCATTTTACATATAAACACACTGTTTTTGTACCTCCTCTGACAAGGGCATCTATTTACCTCTTCCTCAAACCTCTTTGTCATCAATCTCCCAACCCTTTTCTTTCCAAGTTACAGGACCTTCTCATGCTCAGTCTGTTACATACCGTTTCCATTTGATGAAGGATTGCTCTTGTGCATGCCCAGTCTTATGGGTTGGTGGGTCAGATAAACATCCAGTTCATAATGGGCAGCTGAGGTTGCATCGTCACTTGGTGTCTCATGGTCAGTTGTTCACATTCAGTAGCAAGCTAGGTACAGTTTCTCAAATGGAGAATTGTTATCTGCGGAAGAGGGCGTGGCTTTGCTCTAAAACTAAGGATGTTTGCACTGTGACTCTTCCTTCAGAGTTTGCTAGAGGCTCCATAGACAGTCCCTGTTTTCCATCTACATGTCAAGTATCATTGGATTCCTCTGGCTCCTAAGGTCTTGCTACAGTCTTTATTTTCTCTGATTCCTGATAAAAATTCCAGCTTATGCATTACTGGGCAGATGGGTCAGAGCACTAACCTCAAATGTGGTATATATATTGCTTCCGAAATCCAGAGGCCCAACAAGTATTGTGTCTCATTTTTAGTGCTAGGTGGTGCAAGATGCAGCAATTTGTCTTTCACCTTGGAGGAGATAGCCTGATGTCTTCTGGATCAATGGAACTCCAGAAACTTCACCAAGGTGGTAAATTTTCTTGGGGTTCACATGTGTCTTATTATGGCATCTACAGTGTTTGTTATTTCCTGTTTATTAGGTCCAATCAACTTACTACCTTTAATATAGTGATTAAGATCTCTACAGACTAGGTTATGGCAGAGAGCAGGAGAATTTACATCCCATAGACAAGACTGTGAAGATGTACTCTTCGCCTTACCATATAAAAGAAAACAGCTTTAGATGCAAATTGGAATAGATAAAAAAGCATTTGCCACATCAATAGATGTATACGAGGTACGTAGAACTGTGTTGATTTGCTGCAGTAAACATAGCACATATATAATTGCATCTGCAACTGGCTTTACCATGGGATTACGTTTACAACAATTACTATTCTCTAAGATCCACCTGCCTCTGCATAGGCCAAACAGGTGAGTTAAACAAGGGAAGTGACAGTATCACCACCCCTGCATCCTGCACATCTTTTATGGTGGTGCCAATATTTACGTCTCTCAAGGAATGTGGTACTGCTTTGGGTTTTCTGTCCTGGTAGCAACAGCAATTTCCAGAGGCTTCAACTTAGCCCTTCCCGCCACAATGGCCTTCACTCTGTGGGTCAGAGAAGTAATGTGGGGATTCTGCCAGTTATTAAGCATGTCTATTCTAATAATACTTTCAAGAACTGAGGCAATAGCCACAGAGTGGGTCTGCAAACCTACTGGGCAAAAACTCCATTTATCACCTGACTACCCTAAATCTCCACTTTGATTGGTAGACCCAGTGATAGTGGATCCTCAGAAATTAGTATTAATTTGGAAACAGTGTCTAGTAATCTCTGAAATATCTGGGTATTTCCTTTTTCTCAGTGCATGGTCACCCTAGTAAATTACATCATTGACTTCCTTTGGGGAAGGCTTAAATGACAATTTGTATTATTATTTACAGCAATGCTGCAAGATTCTTCCTCAAAGGGACCAGCTTGTCTTTCAATCAAGGGGCTCTGTGGCTGTGATATGACTGAGGTATGGAAACTGAATTGGAGGGATGATTTTTCATTTTGATGGTGCAAGTCAGGTTTCAGGCAGCAGAACTAGAGTTTTGCCTGTTATAAAGATCAAGGAATATTTCAGAAGTCTGCCCATCTCTTTCATTCCCAGGGCCACCTATGGTGTTACCAAATATCCCTGTAGGTCCAGACCTTTCAGTACTATTTTGTCTCTGCTGCCCATTGTAGTAAATGTTTCTATCTTGTCCCTGCTGATTAAATGTTCCTAGGACCCCATTATCATAGAAATCAGGGAGCCATCTCAATGGAAGCATCTCCCACCATCATATCCAACTACTACAAAGCTTTTCTGGTGCTCCCCTTGCTAGTGTATTTTTCAATGCCTAGAAATCGTCATCTGAGCCTCCAAGGGTATAAATTGGGGTTGGATGTACAGATTACACATGATAAAATCACTCCAACATTTCCATCTCTATAAACCTTTGGATTTCTTCTTTGAATTTCTTTCTTTACATTATACCAGGGACATGCTGTCATCTCGATCTCATTGAACATAGATCGCCACCGAGTCAGTTTCATTTAACCAACGAAAAAACTGTTGGAGTCACTTTCAATGCTTGAGCTAATACATTAAATCCAGACCTTCTGTTAATGTACCCATCTCAATAAATTAAGCCCAATCCTTTGCCCTTTATTGTGTTTGGAACTTGACCAAGAACCTTTCAGCTTTTCACAAAGTTATGCCACCTAGGACAACACCAGTGTTGATATTTGAGTTACTAATACAACACATTCATGTTGCTTTGCATTTGTAGCTCTCTCAGGCACAATGGCTCTACATACAGGTCCAAACATCTACTATTTATTTGGTCTTCGAATAGAGTTGTACTATAGCATTTATTTATTGAAATACACATTATAAATTACTTTCCTTTTATTTTTACTTTAGTATACAATTAGAACAGTAATATTGATTTTTTTTGGTAATTTGCATAGGTAGGTAATATTATCTATGAATTTCATTTCGGGAAAATAAAGGGAGTGTTTAAAATTCTAGTTATAAAAGGGGATGATGGGTTTGATAGGGTTGAGAACAGCTTCCTCCTCCTTTGAGATTGGGCCCCAAAAACTTATGTATAGGCATGCTCAGAATGAACCAAAATGGATCTTGAGTGCATCTGCAAAATTAAATCATTTGCTATCACTCTTCTAAAAGATAGCTATATTTAAGTAGAGAATTCAGTGTCCGATTCAGTTTACTTACAAAGCCACGCAGGATGATATTAATAAATAGACATATAAACAACAGCAGTGAAAAAGTGCCTCATAGATGCAACAGAAGCAATCTATTTTATTTGAGGGAGGCCTTGAAGAGATACATGTTCGTCTCTGTGCATCACTGAGGGTACAGGATGGGAAGCCAGGCGTGTGCTGTCTTCGTTCCCCTTGCTGCATGATCTGAATCATGACCCACGGTTAGATGATGAACGGGAGGATGCCACTACTTACTCCCTTCTCTCATTTGCATATGGAATCTTTGGGGAGGCTCTGAAAATAGGGCGGAAGAGTCACATTTGGTTTGTGAAGGAGGGGTGATATGTGGTCCTGACCCAGGAACTCTAGCTCCGGTTTGCTGCTCAGTGCCACTGCCCTGCAGGTTGGTTCTCTGGCCTGCCTGGGCACACGGGGCTGCCTGGGGGCAGTACCCCCACCCACCTGCCTACCTTCCTCTTCCTCCTCCAGGATCTCCACTCTTGTCACTTTCTCAGGGAAGCCTGCCCTCACTCACCAGTCTGGTCTGATTCCTTTGTCATGAATTCCTTTAGGAGCATTTTTCTGCTTGTGACCCCTTATCTCGGTTTGTGATTATTACGTGCATTAGTGGTGACTATGTGGTTTATGTCCGACATCTCCTACCAGTAGGTATCTTGCCTGTTTATGCTTCCCCTTCCACACTGTGCCTAGCCAGAATCTGGTACCAAGTGGGCACTGAGTACATAAGTGGTTGAATGAATGTTTGCCCAAAATTCCAGAAGCATCAGCACTTACTGTGAGTATGAATGTTACTATTGTATTTGTATTCCATGCTGTTTGACAGCTGAGTCTTCTATCTGTTGAAGAGCATGGTAACTGGATTTTGTAGAAATGGGTGAGTCAGGACAGGTGGGAACACTCAAAAGCCCATTGATGCGGTAATTTAGCACCTCTTTTCTTCTCCAGTAACTGCTCCGCCTCTGCCTTCCCTGGTGATTGAATAAACGATGGAGTCTGTGTTTAGCTGGGAGGTAGCTGGAGAACAACGTGAAAGGCTGGAGCCCTGTTCCCCATCCCTCAAGGATTAGTGTGTCTAGGGCCTCCCTGCATTAAACAAAGACAGCATCAGAATAATGGTCCCCGACCGGGTGGGCATAATTTGGCGTGCTGGGTAATTTGATTTCGGATTAGGGGGGAGACGTTTATGGGAAGGGATGTGACCCAGTCTCCCAGGTTAAAGTTGCTGGTGCGCGAGTGGCAGCCTTTCTTGCCCCCTCGGGGTGTGTCCGCACGGGCTTGCTCATCAGGTTGTGTCCGTGTGCGTTTGTGCGTGTTTGAGACGGGGCCGCGGAGGATCACGATCAGCCTCCAGCTGTGCACGCCCTGGGGCCGGAGGGCAGCGGGGGCGGCCCTGGGGCCCGGGTCCGGCTCGCCCCGGCGCAGTGAGCAGGTGCGGAAAGCAGGCGGCAGTCTGGCCCGACTGCGGCGCGCCGGGTGCGGGCGCGGGGCTGCGAGGCCCGGCTGCGGGCGGCAGGAGGCAGCGTCGGCCCAGGCGAACCGCGCGCGGTGATGTCAGTGGCGGCCTGGCTGGCAGCAGCCGGTACTTCCTGTATAAAGGCGGGCGGGCTCCGCTGCAAGCCCCACTAGCCAGTGTCAGCCTCTCGGCGGGAGGAGGCGGCGGCGGAGGAGGAGCAGGGGGAGGGCTGTCAAATTCGGGAGCCAGATTTTTTCCCCTTCCCCTGGCGATCCCTTCCGCTTCCCCGGCTCCTGGCGTGACATCTGCGGGCTCGGGACCTGTATGCGTGTGAGCGCGAAGGAGCGGAAGAATGGCAGTGCTCAAACTCACCGACCAGGTAGGGGGCGGCGGCGCCGGCGGGCGGGACGCGCGGGCGCGGGGCGGCGCGGAGCCCCGGCGGGGGGATGGAGGCGCGGCGCGGAGCGCGCCCGCGAGCTGTTTACTCCCGGCGAAGGGGAGGAGTGTGTGCGGCCGCCGGCGGCTCTCCTCCCCGGCGCTGTCTCCGCCCTGGGCCGTCGGAACTGCGCGCTCCGGTTGGGGAAGGGGCCGGCGGCAGCCGGGCGCAGCCTGGGCGCTGGGGTGCGGGTGCGCGCGGGTGCGTGTGGTCCGCGGGCCTGGGCTGGGCCCGGGGAGGGGAGGTTCGAGGCGCTCCTCCAGCCGCAAGCGTGCTGCGCAGCTTGGGCTCCGACAGCCCTTGCCGGCCCAGGGGAGCCTCGTCCGCGCCGCCGGGAGGAGAACGGCGGATGGAGAGGGAGGGAGGCTTGCAGCCTGGGACCCTTCCTCAAGCCAAGCCGAGCCAAGCCCGAGACCGGCCCCAGACCGCGGCTCTTGTGTTGTCTGTCGGCTGTCTTTCTTCGTTTGACATGACAACCTGACTTCCTCTTCAGTGGCCCAGAGGCTGTGTGCCTGGTGCGCGAGGGGGACCTTTGGAGAAGGCGCTCTCGGTTCTGGCGGGTCTCACCGAGGAGGAAGTGAAGTCCACCCCAGGCTCTGCTCAGAGGCTGTGGGCTGGCTACCTATCCTCTACCTGTGTCCATCAGCTTTGTTGCTTGCCTTGCTGAGACACCACTCAGGGCAGCTCTGGAGTCCTGGTTCGGAGAGGTGGGGATATTTGCTGAATCCGTTGACAGTCGTTGCTGCAGGTCTGGGGAATGAAAACATCTTACCTTTGCGGACTCTGCTGCTCTTAGGACATTGACACAGGTTCCCAACCAAAGTGGCATGACAAAATCCTTTGCAGCTTCTTCCACGAAAAAAAGGAAACAGCTTGCGACCCCCCCCCCCGCCGTTTACTTATGGATAGTGAAATGAACATTGCTTTGGAGTCTTTGTAGACCAAGAGGCAATCTTGACTTTGACACCCGCGGTCAAACATGCCCGTCCTTGGTAGTAAACATCTCATACTTCTCTGGGTTGCATTTGGTGCCTCGCTGTTCCCAGGTAGTAATCCAGCCAGAACATCCTGCGACTTAAATGCAATCAGTAACCACTAATTTGCTCTCCTGCCTTGTAGAGTCAAAGCTTTCCCTAAGTATTTACAGCCTCCCCCCCGCCCGCCCTCCCCTTTTGTAGGAGAGGAGGGATCACGGAACTAAAATTCATGTTATCGTTAAATTTAGCAGGAGGAGCAGCTGGTAATTATGATGAATCTGCTTGTTCCCATTGGTTCCAGAGCACTTAAAAGTGTTTGTAAATTGATATTAGGATTTCCCCCACCTTTTGGTCACATACTTTGACAACTGTTAGACATTTGCTTGTTTTAAATCTTCCAGTTTTAGTCTGCCTTGGTCGTGTCATCTTTGCCATTACATGTTACTTACCGTACTTGCCTGTCATTCATAAACCTACAAACTACCAAAAAATGTTTCCAGGAGGCGTTATTGTTATCACACATACAGAAGAATTTCACGTAGAAGTTTAGAGTTGTAAGAGACCCTAAAGATGATCTTAAACCGCATGCTTCAATTTTTAAATGAAGAAACTGAGATGTGGAGAATTGAAGTATGTCTTCCTCAAGGACCACCACTGTTGGCCTGGAGGGCAGAGACTAGCTCCTGTTTCCCATCTTCCAGGCTCCTGTGCTTTCTGCTAGGGGTAGGACACCTCTGTCTTGTCATTGGATGTGTTGAAAAGGTTACAAGAAGGCATCCTCTTCTACGTCAATATCAAGACTAGTGAAAAGTATATTACTTGACCTTAAAAAGAGAGGAAGTTATTCTTCAGGACTTATCACAGTAGGACCTTCGAAAATGTTTGTCTTCTAAGATATTTCTGAATACATCCCGCCCTTTCCCCCAACAAACTAGTATTACTCTGGAGGGAAAGAAAGAGTCGTATATCCTCCATTTGGTTCCATCACCTGATGCATAAAAGGAATTAAAGGAGTTCTATGATTCAAGAGCCTCTAAAACTTGCCAGCCTATCTTGGGGCAAACCCAGAGGGAGGCTGGGTGAGGAGGTGTTCTGGGCAGTGGGCAACCACAGTTTCTGGGCGGCCTTAGGTCCAGGAAGTGTGTGGTCTTTCTTGCCTTATATAGTCGTACCTTTCAGTTTGAAACTAAATTCTTAGAAGCTGGTTCTTAAACTCACCAGAGACTTAGAAACTTTTGCTTAAACCGCTACTATAAGAGTTTTGCTCCATCATAGTGGGTAGGGAGCTGTCTGCTTGGAATCCCTGCCTTGCAGTTTGTAGAAGAGCGCCTAACTCTCCATTCAGCTGTTTGTAAAACAATCACATCGCAACTCCTTTCTCATCTGGTTAATGCCCAATTTGTGAGGTGAATCTTGATTTTTGCCAAGGCTCTTGGATTTTTAGCTTGAGGACATGTTCTTACTTTTGATAACCTGAATCACAAGTCATCTTGGTTTGTTTTTAACCGTGCCTAAAGTAAGGAGAGAAAGATGACAATTCCTGTTCTGCTGAAGCTGGGTACAGGAGCTTGTTGGGCATTAACGGTCACCGTTTTAACAGTCAGTCCTGCACCCACATCCCAATCAAGCAAGATGAGGAAAACTCCTTTCCTAACTGTTTTGGGAGAGTAAAAAGAAAGGGATAAGAGAGAGGCAAGTGTGGTGTTCAGTCTTTTTTTTTTACTGTGAGAAGGAACTGGGAGCATTGCTACAAACAAACAAAGTTGGCATTTAGCACTTCTGCATTTGTAACTGTGTCTCTTCTGTTTTCTTCTTCACACAACACACATAATTTTTCTTGCAGTGCTAGGGGGACCAGCCATCCTGGCTTGCCAAGGACTGAGGATTTTCCCAGGATATGGTACTTTTGGTGTTAAACCCAGGAAAATTTTGGGTAAACCAGGACGAATGGGTCAACTTATGCAGCATAGAACACACTCACCTATGTGATCAATACAGTAATGTAGTTATTTCCTCCAAAAGGACATGAGGAGGTTTATTCATATCTTTCATAAGGTGAGGTAATTTTAAGTTTGGGGAAGAAAATTCTGTTACATGCAAATCTAATGCCTGTTGGCTCAAGATAGTCATGAAATTCTTCGCAATTTGATTTGCTATTAAACTTTTGGGGGCTGCTCTATATGTCACATAGTTAAGGCACCTCAGTGTGGTCATATCTTTTGCTTGGACCCCTCAAAACTGTTTCAAAGTTGTGAAGCCAGAATGGTAAGTTCTGTTGGATCTTTGATGTGTTCAATATGTGTTCTTATCTGGATTTGCTGGTGACAGCAGAATGCCTCCTCCATCTCTCGAGGGCTGCCTGTAGACAAACTGTTTCAGCAGGTGGCCCTTTTTGGAGCTTCCTGCCTGGAGGCCTTCTGGTTTGGTGTCCCCTTGCCAAGTCCTAGCTCACACTTGAGTCATCCATCTCCTTGCCAAAGGCAGTGGCTGGCAGCTGTGGCAGTGGCAAGAAACTAGAAATCATGTAACTTTGAAAGCAGGATTTCTAGCCGATGGTGTGGGGCCCTGAGACTTGCTGGTGTATTTTATTGGGCCCCCCTCATCCTCCTTTGCTCCCTAGAGCTCTGGGCGTAGTGCAAACACTATGCTCCAGTCCTGCCTGCAGCAAAGAAGGGAAAAGAAAGGCTTTCTTTTTTGGACCATTCTCTAGTTGTTTGGGGATCCAGTCACATGGTTTGGGGAGTGCACTTGAGGGCTGGTGTTTCATGGCAGAGCCCTAATAATGGCTTACATTTATTGTGATCTTATTGAATGCTGGGCCCTTGTGAATCATCTCTCTTAATTGTCACAGCCACATGAGGAGGTAGGTGATAGTATGCTTTCTAGTTTATAGATGAGAAAACAGGACTAGAGAGGCTAATGGACTTGTTCAAGGTCACACACCCAGTAAGTGATCTAGCAAGATGTCCTACCTGGCAGCCTGATTGCATAGGTGGGGCTCTAACTACAAGGCTATACTTTTAATAGCTGAAAGGGCAGTGTAGCCACAGGACTCATGGATGCTTTTTCTTATTTAGTGGGAAGCCCTTGGGTGCGCTGCACTTCTCTTGGCTCCTGGGCCAGACCCAGTTCTGTGAGAGTCAGGAGCTACTCTGAGGCTTTGCTTCAGCCAGACTTGTGCCTGACTTATCCTGTTAGCCTCTCCACCTCCCTACCCTGGTGAAGGATGTGTGGGTTGGTAGCTTGGTGACTTTTTTTTTCTGGGTCATTAACAAATAAACTAGGATCATGATAGAAAAATCAGAAAGCTAGATAAACAAAAAGAAAAACAGTTGAAACCATCTGAAGTCTCTGTACTCAGAGAGAAATAACTACTCTTGACATCTTGGTATATTTCCTTCAAGTCTTCTGTCTAGGTAGCCAGGCAAAACATTTAAACTTGCTTCATGATACTATTTTTCTCTTGAGTACTGAGCTGATATCTATGCTGTCTAGACCAATGACTTTTACAAATAAACGGAATTTATGCTGATCTG